CACACACACACACACACACACACACACACACACACACACACACACACCTCAAAACCCAGAAAGACAATAAAAAGAACTGAAACCTTCTTATTTTAAAAACATTTCCAGCTCACTAAGCCAATCTTATGGCTGTTTGAACTCTTGGGGCTGACAATACTGCTAGGGAATGGACTCTGGTTACTAGCCTCATTTCTCTTCTGACCTGCAGTCAGCTGAGGGCCCAGGTGTTCAGAGAAGCAAGACTAGCACACTGTAGTTCCACACTGCCCCGCTGAAGCATTTTCAGTCCATCTTCCACCGATTGGCATTTCAATCCCCTAAGGATTCATGCAGCACAGACAGCGTTTTTTGTAATAAGGGTCTGAAGAATGTATTAAGTTCTGAGCCCAGCCCCGCAGCCGTGAACAAATAAGCCAGACAGAAATGCCGCTATCACAGCAGATTCTCCATCATAGTCTCTGTCTTCCTCCGCTTCCCCCGCTCCTTGGCTCAGGCGGCAGTTTCTCCCCACGTGTCTGCACAGTGCCTAGTTCAATGGGGCTCCGAGGTGCCGGTGTAATACCAGGAATAATCATTTCTCTGCCCTCCCTCCCTCCTTGTGTGTGTTTCTTTGCAAAATGTGACTTTAAAAGGAACTTGGCGAGGAGCCTCTGAGAGCAGAGACGCAGCACGAGCCGCTGCCTGGCTTGTCAGCCACCAGAGCTGTGCTCTACATCCTGACTCTTGCCGCCGCTGGCTGATGACCGCCCTGGAGGCGTGCAGAACATGCCCGTAGAAGGACGGTGCTCGCAGAGGCCAGGCCTGACTCAGTGCCGCGCTGGCCTTTGCCAAGAGCGGGAGGGTGAGAGGCGCTCGGCAGCGCTGGGATTCGCTGGCTGTTTGGGTGACCCAGGACCCTGTTTACAGCAGTTGCCTGCTTGATTTTAACCCTTCTGCGGAAGGTGCGGGTCCCAGGAGCGGTGCTGTAGCACGGCTCTTCGCATGCTATGGAGCCGCACCTCCGCTTGCAGTGATGGGCCAAACGTCACCTCTTGTGCTGCAGCCTGGGGGGCTGTGCGTGTAGCACCGGGGCCCTCAGACGTGTCTCTGGTGTGAGCCAGGTTGTACGGGAGGGATTGTCTCATGAACACTTCCCCTCCCGTTTGTGATCCTGCAAACGCCTCTCGCCCCAGCCTTCATCACACACAGAGTCCAAACAGCCAAAGCTGTTGACTTCAACAGGCTTTGGATTAGACCCTTCCATGCACTCCCATTTCTGGGTTAAGTGCTTCCAAATGTCTCCATTAGAAAGGTGTTTAGAGAACCAAATTCTGTTCTTCAGTTGTCACTACATGGAGTCTGTGGCCATATTAAAAGGAACAAGCCTTTGTCTATGTCTGTGTCTCCCTGCTTCGCACTCCTCATCCCAGACTCTCAAATTGCTCTGCAGAAATTAAGCTCCACACCCAGCGGGTGAGGCAGATAAGTACAACGAATGCTGCTGTGCAGCCAGGGAAAGGGAGGTGCAGAGAGGTGACGTGACTTGCCCAGGCTGGCACTGAGAGTCAGTGGCAGGGCCTGGAGTAGAACCCAGGAGTCTTTATGCCATGTCAGAAAACATATAAACAAGGGGCCAGTCCTGAGGTCCTTACTCAGGCAAATTCCCATTGGAGTGCCTGCATATGGACCTCAGGATCTGGTCGAAGATAAGCAAATTCACTGCTACCAGACTCCTATGGCAAGGGTTGGATTGGGTCACACCATCTCAATAACCTCCTCTCTGTCTCTCTCTGCCAGGTCTCCAGCCCTTCATCCCAGACTCAGAAGGGGACCTCCTCTTCCTGCTGGACAGCTCTGGCAGTGTCTCCTACTACGAGTTCTCTAGGGTCAAGGAGTTCCTCAGGGACCTCCTGCGACCCTTCACCTTTGGCCCCAGTGACGTCCAGACCAGCATCATCCACATCAGCACGGTGCCCACCATAGAGTTCCCCTTCGACCGGTACTTGTCCAGTGGGGCAGTGCAACAGGCCATCCGGGACACGCAGCAGCTGATGGGGGACACCAACACGGGCAAAGCCCTCTCCTTCGCCAAGGAGAAGTTCTTCACGGACGAAGCTGGCGCCCGGGCGGATGTGCCCAAGGTGCTGGTGTGGGTGACCGATGGCTTCTCTACTGATGATATCTCCCAGCCCATTCAGCTGCTGAAGGACATGGGGGTCACGGTCTTCATCATCAGCACTGGACGGGGGAACTACCTGGAGCTTTCGGCAGCTGCCAGCCAGCCTACTAAGAAGCACTTGTACTTTGTGGACGTGGATGACATGCCCATCATCACCAAGGAGCTGAGGAACGCCATCATAGGTACCATGCGCTGGCCGGCCTGGGGAGAGCCGTTCCAGTTAGCGATGCCCCTTTGGGGTCGGGGGGGGGGGAGTGAACGCCAGCCACTTCCTCAGTTTGGGGAAGAGCCCTAGAGTTCAGGTACTTCTGTGAACCTTCTGTGGAGGTCTCTGGCCTGCAAAGCCAGGGCTGGGAATCTCCTGAGAACGGCTCCTCCAGTCCCACAAAGAACACGGAGGGGCTAAACCAGTGGTCCCCAAACTTTTCACGATCGCACTCCCCCTTGTTCCTGTCCACATCCCACCCCGGGGGCCGGGAGTGGGGCTGCGGCTCCCGGGAAGGGGAGGGGACATGGACAGGGGTAAGGGGGCCAAGGCTGGGGCTACACCGGGGGGCAGGTCTGTGGCCAGGAGCTGGGGTTGTGGCAAAGCTGGGGGCGCAGCAGGGCTGGGTGCCGCTCCCTCCCCGCCAAATGTTCCTCTGCGCCCCCGCCATGGGGATGCGCCCCACAGTTTGGGGGCCACTGGGCTAAGCCCATTTTACTGAATCGCAGCAGGTGGCCAGCCCTTGCGGCGCCTCTGGGAACGCTCAGTTCTGGGGAGGGGTGAAAGTCGCGGTCAGCTGGTATCTCACCCTCGCTCGCTGGCACTGCCGCCTAGGTACCCTACGCAGATGTTTGCTGAGGGGTGACGGCGCGCTGCACCCCGGGTGGGCTCAGCAGAAGGGATTGAATCTGGGGGGCCGTGTCATAAAGCAGGAGCCTCTGCTGCCTGAGGTAAAAGAACCAGCTCTGCTTGTCGAGGCTGTAACAGGCTCCTCAACCTCGACATAAGGTCCAGCCCCCACTAGTGCCGCACCAAGTGGGTTGCCGTGACAAAGGCCAGATTCTCAAAGGTATTTAGGTGCCTAACTGTTCAGCTAGGGGCTGGGGGGAGTTAGGAGCTTAACCTGCTTCTGTGCTCGTAGAAATCCCGCCAGGCGCAGCTCTGCATCGTTAGGTGCCTAAATACCTTTGAAAATCTGGCCCTTGTGCTCCGTGCTTTGAAGATAAGAAGGCCCCTGCTCTCAGGAGCTGGCGGGGTACGAATCCCCCTAGACACTCTGTGTGGGGTAGATTGGCTTCTCCATCCTTTGCTAGCAGAGGTCGGGTCCATAGTGTGTGTTGGTGGGGAGACCTCCTATTGACCCAGGACAGCTGCGGCATTGATCTTGCTTGTCCAGGAGTGACCCCAGGCCTTGAGGAGGTTGGGGGTAGAGTGGGGACAAATTCTTGTCTTCCCTTTGGGGAAGATCCCACAAGGTCTTGCAGCTGTAACATCTCCCTGCACGCTACAATGGAAACAAGCCAGGGTCCGTTCCCTTCTGCGGGCTGTGTTCGCGTCGCAATGATTTGCTGGGTGGGGGAGAAGAGAGGGGAGCTCAGACACGAGTTGTTTGGATTCCTTTGAAACCCCCCAGATTTGGAAATAAATCATCACAGGTGCAGGTCATTGGCTTCCCTTGCAAGTCAAGCCAGGCAGGAAAACGCACCAAACCCAAGAACTGTCCTTCTGTCTCCACGGGTCAATGGTTACCCAGGGACCTTGGAGCAGAGCTGGAGGTTGAGCTGTAGAAAATAAAGGTTAGGATTTTCAAGAGTTAGGTGCCCAAATCCCTTTGAAACATAAGGGAATATTGGTGCCAATTTCTCTGAGGCACGCTAGTAAATTCCAGCCAAAAAGATTACCTGGCTGCCCAGTAAGCCTGGTGTAACAATTTGTTCTTTAGTATGTAAGCACACCAGTCTAGGCTACATCTAGGCAGTGGTGTGGGCTCTTGAGTGGCATGTGTTAGTGCGAGCTAAGATTTTCCAAGTTGTATCCCAGCTCCGCCACTGACTCCCTCTGTGACACTGGGTAAGTCACTTAACTTCCCTGAGTTAGTTTCTCCCTCTGTAAGACAGGGATAACACCAGCTTGCCTTAGAAGATTACTTAGTTAATGTCCATAAAGCGGCCGGAAGCCATAAAGCATGAAGTGACTCTGTAGAACTCAACAATAGAGCTGTAAATTACCGTGGGTTCATTCTAAATGGACGGTGAAAATTTTCCAAAAATTTTAAACCAACATTTCGAAGACGTCAAGCGGCTCGAAGCTGTCCCATTAAAACAAAGGAGAACAATCACGACCACCCGCTGCACGCACAGAATAAACCCAGTGCTGATAGAACTGTTGGCAGGGTCGACTCACTTAGCGCTTACCCTGTGGAACAGAGCTAACCTAACGTGGCTGCGTGTCTCCGCGGAGGCTGGCATTCACCGAAGGATCAAAGTCCTGCCCTGAGGCCACCTGGCGTGCTGCTCTCTTAATAATCATTAAACATGGTTCCTAGCGGGATTCCAGCAATGGAAATTGTGACCCAGAGTTTTGCATCTCACAGGCCGTGTTGTAACGTGCTATAGGAGATAGCCAAGGGGAATGATCTATAGCACAATTTTGGCTAGCGCAGTCCTCGGAAGAAAATCCTGGCCAGACTAGTCAAGGTTAGCACGTTGGCAGCGAGCTGGTTTGCTGCGAGTGTGGCTGTGGAACTAGAGTGATTGGTAAGAGTGGAAGGCCAAAGGTGGGTTAGATTTTCATGATCAGCCTTTGCAAAGTGGCCGGGAGAGAGACCCAGGCAGCGAAAAGCCACGTGCGCAGTGCTGGAGCCAGCCTTGCCGAAGCAAAGCAGAATGCCGTGTGCTCGTTTGCACGTCCTTACCTACAACTCTCGTCCTCCACACGGCTCTTCACTGCCATTCCTCCAGGTGTTGCCTGCCCTTGCAAAGCTGTGGCCTGGCCCAAGCCTCCTAGTATTCTAGGATTTCTTTGGGAAGCTGAGCCAGTTCCTCTGGCCCTACGAGGTGTTCCAGTCGCTTGCTGGAGACGGACTCTATTGGAAAGGAGGTTTTCCTTCCCTGCGCGGCCCCTGCTGAGAGGAGACTGGTTAGAGCTCGGTGTGGAGGAGCCAATTAACCCTTTCCATGGTCTCCTATTGACCCAGCAATTTTGTCACTAAAGAAAAGCTCACATTTAGAAAACCAAGGATGAAAAAATCATACATTATAACTATAAAAAAGAAAAGAAAACTAACCACATCTGCAGAGTAGCCGGGGCTTCCCCCTCCCCTCCAGTTGGGGGATCAGGGAGCACATACTATGTATATCGGAGCCATGGCTGGAATGTGCAAGGTGCTGGACAAACCCCAGCTGGCAAATGGGCCGCAGCAGCCCAGAAGCCGGGGGGGAGTCATCACCAGCTCCTAGCACACACCAATCAGAAGTCAGGCCCCTCCAGGATCTGGCGTGAAGATCACGAGATTGTCAGCAATAATACGTGCTGTGTTCCTTTGCCTTCTGGCTTGTAAGCGTCTAGCTTGCACTCAGGCCAAGCTTTGCTCTGCATGAGTGAGGTGGAGAATTTTTTTTTTTTTTATTAAATGAATCCAGGATTCTCCCCTATGCCCATGACTCCAGGAGCTGGGGCTTTAAGACAAATACCAACTACCTCGATAAAATTGAGAGTTGCCAAGAGCGGGCCCTGGTGCATCCCCTTCGCCTTCCCTTCCCCAGGGCTGCGGGTTCCGTGCTGTGCGTGCACAAAGTGCATATGCCATGGGAAGGAAGGGAGGGCAGCTGGCATGCAGTGCAGGGAGGCCGTTCCAAGCGAGTGGGCAGCATGGGAAAAGGCCTGGAGCTGGCATTATTATCATCATTATCCTGTTCTCATCTCTTGAAACAAGATAGAGCATTAAAAGGCCTTTTGTAGGTACACAAATGAGCTTTGTAATGAAATTGGCCAGTTTCCTCCCTCCACCCCTGTCCAGGAAGGGGCTGGGTTTCATCCCTACTCATTGCTATACGCCCACAGGATGGACCTGGCTCCCATGCAGCAGTTGCCTCAGGTGTGAATGTGAGCATGGGAACAACCCACAAAGGGAGTAAATCAGAGAGGCCACGCCTCTTCTCTGAGCTGCATTGGCCTTTATCTCCTCTTTGCTCCCTTCAGAAGCATCTCCTTTGCTTTTAAAGATTTGCTCAGAGATCTAAGCAGGCAATAAACCAAAGCTGTTTGGTCTGGGAGTCATGCTAGAGTTTTAGATCCAAGCCAACAAGAAAGGCAGTGCTGAGAGTGAGTGAGAGAAGGGGAATAGACTCATGTTTGGGACATATGGGGGCTCCCCCCTGCTGGTTTTTAATCCTGCCTCTGTGGAAAAGTGACATCAGCTCTCTGCCTCAGTTTCCCTCCGCATACAATGGGTATGATCATATCAACTGACCTGCGGTGAGGGGTGCTGGGAAGGTCGGTGAATGTAAATGGCTCGACAGACTGTGGGCCTGGTTCTGATCTAGCTTGCTCTGGTGTCAATCGGAAGTAGCCCTGTTGAAGTCAGTGGAGCTGTGACAGTGTAAAACTCTTGTAAGCGAGAGGAGATTCAGGCTATGCTAGGAGATTGACCAGGGCAGCTGTCTCCCCCGTAGTTACTTCATTCCACCCCCACCTCCCTGGTCTTCTCCAGTCTAGGGGGGCTGTTGGGCACCCCTTCTAAACTGTCCGCCATTGCTTCACATCTGCAGACAATCGTTTGCATTTGCTTTCCTGCTTGAATTGACGGAGCCTAAATCTGTCACCCCCTAGTCAATGTGCCGCTCTCTGGCCAGCAGACAGCAAGTGTGTAGGATGCTGTCCGTGCTGCCCCTGTGCAGCAAAGATATAAAGGGTTGATCCTGCTCCTTTCGCCAGGCCAAATCCTCACAGCCTGCAACGGGCACCAGGGAAATACCTGTGACAGACAGATGGACGCAGGGAAAACAAATCGGATCTTGGGGAAACGGCTGAGCAACGTAGCGCAGGCAATGAGGCTGCTTCTTAGAGACAGTGGCGTTGAAATACACTGGAGCAGATGGAGCAGGGTCCAATCTAATATGGCAGTGCCTGGTTCTACAATGGATCCTTCCTAACTTCCAGTGGGTTACTCTCTACGTACACCAGCGCAGGTGAGAAGAGCGGCCCATGATTAAGCTGCTAGTGTCCCCTTAAAATGGTGAGAAACACGCACCTATTCTCAAGGTATTGTAGTTGGGGGAGAGAGTCTGGCTTTATTCTCCAAGGGACGGACCTGAGATGCAATCAAAGAATTCCTGTGGGGTGACGTGTGGGTCTCTCCCTGCTCACGTCTGATCGGTGGCTGTGTCTGTAGAAACTGACATCACCCTTTGGCACCTTCTCCACTGCAAGATCCTACGTGCAGAGGAGCAATAGAAACTGCAGCCGGTTCCAGCACAGGCACAGGGGAAGCAGCATGTCTGTGGGCTCCAGCAGCCCACGGCGAAGGCTCTGTGTCAGGGACCTGGATACATTGTGTAGTCAAGGAACATGATTTCCCAATCTGATAAAGAACAGCACCCACCGTGCTCGGCAGATGTGAGGCCCTACCCTCGACGGGCGGAATTCAGTCTGTTCTAACCTGCGTTTGTTTGTTAAAATGGACAACGACTGGCCATTCCGTTTGAAATCAAACTTTGGGAGCCTGATCCTATTAGCACCGAGCGTTTTCCATCCCAGTGCCTCGGAGCACTTCACAACGGTTGGTAGGTATCAATAGCCCAGATAGGAATACAGAGGCACAGAGCTGAAGAGATTTGTCCAAGATCACAGCTGAGCCAGTGGTGGAGATGGTAATATAAGAACAATAATGAATACCTAACTCTTATGCAGCACTTTGGATCTCAATGAGCTTTACTAAGGAGAACGGTCTGCTTATCCCCATTTTGCAGATGGTGAAACCAAGGCACAGAGTGGAGAAGTGGTTTGTCTGAGGTCATCCCACAAGCCAGCAGCAGAACTGGGAACTGGACCCAGGTCTCCTGGGTCCCAACCCAGCCGACTGCACTGAGAAGAACAATGTTTCCTTTGCAGATGATGAAAGAGCAGGTTTCCTGCCACCTTAGCCTTGGGCTCACTGAGAGTCAAGAAATTTCCAACAAGCCCGTGGCTGTGAAAAGTGCTTGTCTGTGTCCATCCTACATGAGCCACAAAGAGATACTGAGAGAGAGTCATTTTGTTAATGGGGGGATGAGTGAGGGGGCATCTGGGGTGCAGGAATCATTGGTGATTGGAAAGCTTCAGCCGGGATGGATGCCTAGGGAATAACATCCTGCTAGCCTAACGTTCGTTTTAGATCAGAAATTCATAGGGTGCTGAATCAATCAAGCCACGTGCCCCTGCTCTCTGTGGCTTATTGGCTTTGCTTTATGGCCAAGGCAGCTCCAGCTATGCAGCAGGGCACAGAGCTTGATGCTGTTAGCAAGCTACAGGCCAGATCCCCAGCTGATGTAAAACAGGGTAGTTCCATGGATGGAGCAATGTTAGTTTGCACCACCCGACTCTCACACAACACCCCTGGAGGGCTCTGTCTCGGAGATGATTCATTTCCAGCCCAAGTGCATTTGGCCTTTGGCAGGATAAATGTTCTTTCCAGCACCTCAATCTCTGTCTCCGAGTTTTGAAATGAGCTGGTCCTTTGTGCCCTTAGGAATCGCACTAAATGGAGCAGCAGGGGTGGCAGGATCAGGAGCTTACAAAGGAGTTCTTACAAAGCACGGTGGGAACCAGGGAGGAGGGGGCGTTGAATGCTGCTGGCTGGCTGTTGGTGTGAAGGGGGAAAGCGAGGGCATGGCAGATGTGGAATGTTCCTTCCCAGCTGGGCGAGCCCATAAACAGCTCAAAGGAAAAACTGAGGCTGTTTTCTGGTGTACCAGGGAGCTGGCCTGGAACTCCAGCAGTTTAAAGGAGGAAGGTTGGGCTTCTGGTTCTTGGGCATGCCTGAGATCTGGGAGGTGTTCCCAGCTCTGTTGTGGATTTGCTGTGTGCTCTTCAGGAGGTCAGGGCTGCGCTCAGTGCCTCAGTTTCCCCACCTGTCCGTGTTGGACAGTGATATGTGTAAAGTGTTTTGAGCTCGAGATGGAAGTGGGGGGATGCAGTAGGACGGCCCATTGGTCCAAGCCCCATGCAAAGGCTTCCCCTCTGTCAGTGGCTGGCATCACGGGCGCATGGCTGAGCTGAGTTTTCCCACTCGGGCAGGAAGCTGTGTGGTTTGGAGCCAGTAAAGCGAAGGGGAGTCTCTTATCAGACAACGGCCTGCTGCTTCCAGTAATCTGCACTGTCAGCAGCCTGTCAGCGGGGCACTGGGCAGGCCCACAGACCAATACGGTGAGAGGTGGGTTTGCTCCTCTAACAAGCCTCAAGGCCTTGAGAATGCAGGCTGGGAGCCCTGCCAGTCCCAGGGCCAGGCAATGTCCTGCTCCCCCCTTGCAGGAGCAACGGAAAAGCCACAGTCTGGTTCCAGCCTCTTCAGCTTCCACACCCAGATGGCTCTGCAGGGATGGAAACATGGGAGAGGCTCAGGCAAGGGAGAAAAGGCTTTTGGGGGGCATTTCGAAGGCGAGGGGGTGCTGAGGCCCTGGGAATGGTGGGAGCTGCAGAGGAGAAGGCCCTTGCACCAGAGGTGCTGAGTTGAGATGCAAAGGGCTGCAGAGAAGGGCTTTGCAATGGTACCACGGGAGGTGGCAAAGGACATGGCCAGAGGTGGTCGGTGACAGCACGGGTCAGGGCAGGAGGCAATGGGGGCTCTGCTGTTTTGCCAGCCCTGGAGAGAGCCGCCTCTGGGACAGAATGGGGGAAAGCAGTGGGCAGTGCCAGGGGCAGGGAACACTGCGGCACTGAGTGCCACAACACAATGGGGCATCTGTGGAGCACTGGGATGGGTGACCTCAGCCGGGATGAATGCAGGGGGCTCAGCAAATACCAAACAACCCCCTAACTCTCCCCTGCCCCCCTTCCACAGCAGCAGGGCTGGGGCACGGAGTCTCCTGGGGAGAACTGCCTCTTCTTCCATGCTGGCCTCTTCCTGTGCACCAGAGGAGCAGGTGCTTTGATTCGGTTCCTTGGGAGGCAGGGGATTGACCTCTGGAGGGTGACCCATGTGGGACTAAGAGTCAGAGCTCGGGGGTTCTGTTCCCAGCTCTGTCGCTGACTCTGTGTGAGCTCGGGCGAGGCTTTCATGGCCAGAAGTCAGTGGGAGCAGAGGGCAGGGGGCGCCTGATAACCAGACCATTCACCTCTCTAGGCCTCAGTTTACCACGCTGGTGAACTGGGGACAGTGGCACTGCCTGCCTCTCAGGCGGAGTGTCCCTCCCGTCCCCGGCGTGAGCTAAGGAGAGTTTCCCCCAAAGGAAGCAGTTGCCCCTGCTTGCAGCAGGCTGTGCCCATGTGGGGCGTGAACGTCCCAGCACAGCGCCTCAGGCAGGGCCGGGGTTGCCATGGCAGGCCGGGTAAGTGCCAGCCCGAGGCATTAGCAGTACAGCGATGACTGCTGCGTGCCAGTGACTGCAGGGCAGGGCTGGGCTGGATCTCACCCGACGGGCCCAGCAAAGCAAGGCCACCCCGGCCTTCGGGTCGGAGGTTCCAGCCCAGCCCCGCCTGGCAGTGATACCAGCCCGGGACTGTCGGGCACCAGTGTGAGAGGAGCGTGGGGTGAGAATGGGGGTGGGTCTCAGCACAGCCCCAGTGAGGCAGGTGTCTCCACCCCAAGAGTTTGCCCTCCGTGCAGTCCTTGCGGCGGGGTTGGGCGACACACACGCACACACATGATGTGGAGGGGCCTTTTCAGAGCAGCCTGGGGCCCGGTGGCAGGGCGGGCGGTGGCAGAGTTGCCCTGTCCTGTCCCAGCTGTTGCTGTTCTGTTCAGCGTCAGTTCCCCCGCTCGCTCTGAAGGGCCCAAGAGCAACGCATGCTGCTGAACGAGGGCTCTTTGGAGCTGAGGGCCAGGTACTATGTAGTGAGCGTCTGGGGTAGAGCTGCCACCCGCCACAGACAGACACAGCTGTGCAGTTCTGAGCCCTGTGCCAGCTTTTTGGGGTGTGGTTTCCACTGCCATCTGGTGGTCGAAGCAGAGAGATGCACTTGCTTTACAAGCGCTGCCCTGGTACCCTATGGATGATAACGGATACAATGGGGTGTTATTTAGACTTGGAAGTGACTAAAATGAACCAGATTCCCCTGCTTCTGTTTACACTCACTTCATGGCTTTGAGGCAAAGGCTAGAGGCACATTTGTGCTCCAGAATCTTAAAAATAAAAAAAATAAAATAAAAAAAGGGACTGGTTCATAGCAGCCTAGCTCCAACCTGCTGTGCAGTGTAGCAATGAGCTGCTAAACAGCTGCCTTGTTCCACCCCAGAAGTGGCTGCATTGCAACTAAGTGTGATCTGAGCGGTGTATAGAGTTATTTCTAATGTGTTTAGAGCTCCTAGCATGAGAGGCGAACCCCAGCTACCTGGGCAATGCGAAATGCTCACCTGCATTTTCTGTGCCTAATGAAGCTACTGCTGCAGATGTAATGGGAGGGAGTTGTTTGCACAGGCACAGGGAATCAGTGGGACTTTTCTCTGATCCTCCAGTGACTTCTGATTGCTGTTTCTCTCCCAGATGTTATCCGAGCCAAGCGGCTCCGCGCTGTGGAGATCACCTCCAGCAGCTTCCGTCTGACGTGGCCAAGGCTCCTCTCCAGCGACACCGGCTACTACGTGCTGGAGTACGCCCCTGCGGACGACCCGAGGAGGAAGCTGGTGAAGCAGGTGTCCGGGGATCACACCGGCCTCTTCCTGAGCGATCTCTCGCCAGACACCACCTACGAGGTCGTGCTCGTTCCAGAGTCCAACGAGCACTATATCCCTCCGCAAACCACCAGGGTCACCACGCTGGAAGGTAAGACGATGACGTATGTTACGGTAGCACCAATCAAGGGTCAGGGCCCCATGGTGCTCGGTGCCATAGAGACACGTAGCGCAAACAGTCCCTGGCCCAGACCTTCTAGCTGAGGCATGAGGAGAGTGAGTATGGGTTTGAGAGAGACCCTCTAGCTCGGCCACAAGGTGTGGGCGTGATGCAGGAATCACTCGGTGGAATTCTCTGACTTGGGTTACGCAGGAGGTCAGATTAGATGGCTACACAGTGAGAGTCCATCTGGCCTTAAAATCTCTGCAGATTCTAAGGGGAAGACAGGGGTGGGTCACCCCAACCGCCTGGTTCTGTTCACTCCTCGCTGTGGGAGACAGGAGGTTAGATGGACCATTGGTCTGACCCAGTATGGCCGTTCTTATGAATCGAGAGAAAAAAACAGCAGAATTTAGTTGGAAACGAAGTCTCGGCGCTCCCCTGGCTTACCCAGTGCCGATCGGTGGATCCCATCAGGGTAAAGGGAAGCAAAGCACAAGCAGGTGGAAAGAGCTCCGTAAACCTGCACTCCCCGTCTCGCTATCACCCTGTGACAACCCAGGCACGTATAACACGCCCCGAGTGGGTGGTCGTCATCAGCTGGGAAGGAACCTGGGACCGCTGGGTCTAGAACCATGAGCCACTCCTGCCTGAGCTGAAAGATCCGGGTGTCTGAGCTGAGGCACCGGTAGCAAGCTTCCCATCCTCTACTGGTGACCACTAGCGGGTGACGTGGAGTCGGTGACCACTAGAGGGTGACATTGTGAGCAGAAGCTGGACCCGTTTGAGGGAGAAGTGTAGAAAACTAGTCCCCTGGGAGAGCCTTTAGATTTAGAGCAGGATTGGGCTGTGTCGACGTGTCTGACTGAGGTTGAGTTGCTTCCGCCTCCATGACGGCCAATAGGCTCCCAGCTTATTTACACTGCTGTGGCTGGAGACTGCTCTGCTGCCGTGAATCACACCAACACACGTCTTCCTTTCCCTCCTCCCCACAGAGGAAATCAGCCCAACTCAGGTTCTCATCTCGGAGTCCAAGCCGCACAGCTTCCGCGTCAGCTGGGCTCCCACGCCGGACAGTGTGGGGAGCTACCAGGTGCTGTACGGGCCGCTGCCTGGCAATTCAGCTAAGCTGCTGGAAGTGGATGGGGCGCACAACAGCACGGTAGTGGAGAACCTGGCCCCCAACACCACCTACTTGGTGACGGTGGCGGCCATCTATAAATCGGGGAAGGAGAAAGCCCTGTCGGCCAAAGCTTGCACGCAGGAAGGTGAGTGAGCGGGGCCCTCTGCTGACAGGACACCACCATCCCAGCTGTGAGATAACACCGCGTGGGCTTGAACTGAACAGGGACTGGTCTTGTTACCTGCGGTCAAACGGGTTCCTGCAGAATGTGGCCACCTCTTTGGCCAGACCAGGCACTGAGGTGAAAGCCCTTCTCCCTCTGTTTTGTGTCTCCCACCCCCCGCCTTTGCAAGCAAAGCCAAAGCCCACAGCAAGGGAGCGCTGCGCCTCAGGGAAAGGACTCCAGCAATTGAGCGGGTCAACTAGAAGGGGCCGGGGGTAGAATGCAGCCAGGGGGACGATACAGCTTTCAGGGAACAGAGCGTGCGTATCCTAGAAATGTGGCAGAGTGACAGAGCGTAGGACGGATGAAAATTCAGCAGTAGGTGTGCAACAGGTCTCCAACGGAGTCTGTCCTCCTAAGCCACCTGGAGCAGCACAAGCAGAGCTGGCTGGGAGGATGCTGGAGTCCCCAGGGACGGAAGGTCGTTTCTGTTGTCCTCTCCTTCCTCATGGCCTGTCTCTTGGAGCCTCGGAGAGATGGAGGTCATGAGCTCCCCTCGGGCACGTGCCAAAACTCCCACGCCAGTGTGGGGGGTGGAAGCTCATTAACGGGGGTGTCATGGGTCGGGGGCTCCCAGGAAGTGATGTCTCTGGAGCTTAGCTTGTCAGAGCAGGTGAAATCCGGCTTGATTTAGTCAGAAGGATTCCGGAGTGAGCAATGGCGGAGATTGGAGGTGAGTTGGGGCGCAGGGGTATCACAGGCCAGTTCCCATGGGCAGGTGTCCGTGTCAGCAGAGAGGCCGAGGACTCCACGAACGCTGGAGATGGAACTGTCCCCTCCTGCCTGGAGCAGGCCCCTCCAGGGCATAAGGAGCCATGCAGAGGGAGTCCGGCGACTGCCCAAGCTGTCCCTGTTCTGAGGATAAACAGGGGCCTGTGGCCTGCAGAGCTGTCCACCCCGCCCTCTTCCCAGCGCCAATCACTAATAGGGGGGAGATCGGCCCCAGAAGGAGGGATGACGCCAAATGACTGGGCCCCCATAACCTCCTCTTCTCCCCGTCCCCCTACTAGAGAGCTCCAAGGTGAGGCACCTGCGTTTCGAGGACATGGGCCCCAACACCCTGAAGGCCTCCTGGGACTCGGCCGACGGGCCAGTCCTCGGTTACCGGGTGAGGTGCCGGCGGCAGACGGGCCCCTCGTCGCTCCTCAGCGTCTCGCCGCAGATCCACAGCGTGCTCCTGACGGACCTGGCCTCGGGCACTGCCAACAAAGTGTGCGTGAAGCCCATGTACAGGAACCAGCCAGGGAAGGGGCTGTGCCGCATGGTTCACATGCAGCATGGTGAGTCGGGGCAGGAGCCCTCCTGGAGAGGGCAATGCACTAGCGCCTTCGTGGCAGGGGCGGAGGGGTGGGGGGGGCTTTGTGAGGGGATGCGGTAGTGCCAGAGTTTCTTTGGCCCAGTAGCCATTGGTGCCCACCCACGCCCAGTGGCAGTGGCTGCTCTTACACGACAGTGTATACTGGGCTCGGGGCAGGACAGAAGTGGCCTGATTTACAGAGGTGCTCAGCACCTGCAGCCCCCCTTGACGTCAGTGAGCACTGTAGATACTCGCACCTGTGACAATTAGACCCGGGGGGCTGGGTTGGCAGGATTCCGGTTCGTAACGTACAGTAGAGGGACCTGGAGAGATTTCTTTTAAATCCTCTGTGTTTTAACCTGACCCTGTCCGAGAAGCGCTGTTGTCTGGGAGGTTGATTTGCTCTGGTTCCTTGGCTGAGGAGCCCAGTTTTAACGGCGCACCGGGGTTCTCGGAGGGCTGAGACGGCGGTGGAGAGTTTCACAAGTAATGAGTGACTGTAGCTTAGCCTGGTTTTCCCAAGGCGAGTGCTCAGCGCTGTCTGGAAATCGGGCTTCTTTGAGGGGTCTCGAGTTGGTCACATAAAAATGGAGGTACCCAAACCAAAGGCTGCTGACGCTTTGACACTGAAATCCTCTTTCAGTTCTTAGAGGGCCCGATCCAGAGCCCTTTGAAATCAAGGGGAACTTTCCACCCACTTCAGTGAGCATTGGATCAGGCTCTAATTGCCATGACGCTGCTCTTGTGCTCGGGGACTGGTATGCCGATATATCACCCCACAATCTTAGAGGCATCCCCAGGCTGTGATGCAGCCAGCTGTTCACACATTTCTAATAAGAGTGCTCCCCCTAGTGGCTGTGGCTGGTCTACATGGCCCTGTTGTTCGGCCTAGGGGTGTGAATCGCAGCTTTGCAGGCAGGAGGAAATGTGCCAACCTGCAAAAAAGTACCTAGGGTTAGCAGGAGAGGAGCAGGGCACCTGGGTGTTGGAATTGCAGTGTGAAAATCTTACTGGTGGTGTCCAGTGCTGCTTTGACATCACCCATCTGCCTATCGTCCCCTGTCTTGAAGGAGGAGAAGTTCAGGGAGGGGTGTCCCAGGCATCGGGGACAGGGCAGGAAAAAGTGCAGGGACCTCTTTATGGGAGGAGCAGGTGGGTGTGCTGGCATGGCTGGTGCCGGGGGGAGGTGAGCTTAAGGGACCAGAGCAGAATTGCAAGGAGGGGCTGAGCTGAGATGGGCTTGGAAGGTGAAAACTAGAAGATTGGAACTTGCCGTGGTGAAATGGGGGAGGGAGGAGGCAGCAGAGGTATTCAAAGAGGGGGTGATACCATCAGAGTGACGGTAAAGGAAGATGATCTGAGTATGAATGGACCCAGGGGAGAGCGGGAGGCATGTTGGGGAAGAGGTTGCGGTAGTCGAGGGAGAGAAGTTTTCCTGTGTGGACAGAGGAAAGGTCAGAGCTTGGACACTGCCGGGCTAGGCAAGGCCGGGGGAGGGTGGAGTCAAGATATTCCCCTTCCACCCCTGAACGATGGTGGAGCTATGTCTCGGGGGGCGAGCTCGCTGAGGTTTCCCCGGAGGGTCAGACGGGCAGAGCTGACGGTTTGTCCTTTGGCCCCTTTCCAGCCACAGCAGCACAAGGATACAAGCACAGACGGAGCGCGTGAGGGACACTGGACTGAACTGTTCCCCTACAGCGCGAGGGGAAAGGATTGGACAAGGATGAATAGGGGGACCTCACCGATCAGCTCCCATCCTGCGTTACCCCTTGAGGTGTGTGGTTCCCCCTAGCTGTTGTCAAGCCCACAGATTCCTGAAACTGTAACGTGCGACCCCCAGCTTATCAAACGGCTTGGCTGGCTGGAGCAAGCGGACGGGCTGATGGATCCCAGCCATGCAATGGGTGCGGGTTAAAAATTGTGCTATCCTTTCGTATGTTCCTACGCCTGAAAAATTAGCGACGAAAAGACAAAGTGGGAAATCTTAACCGTTGTTTGCTTCCTGTTTTTTATTCATTTTCTGTCTTGTTTTGGTTTTTGCAGAGTATAAGTGGCCTTGCACTGATCACAAGTGGCTGGGAGCCACATTGATCCCTGGTGTATAACTCCATAGAAGCTGTTGGAGTTAGACCAGGGGTGAATTGTGCCCAGTGAGATCAATGGGTTTGGGAGGCAGATCTAGGTATTGTGACAGGGAATACGGTAGGACTGCAAAGAACAGATTCACCTAATGAATAGCACCTTCCATCCAAACATCCCAGATGTTCAATGAGCATCGCAACGGGGCTCCCATCATCCATCCCTGAAGTGAAGCCACCTCTGATGTGGAAGGACAGAGCCTTTAAAGGTGCTTAGAATATGCAGGGATGATCCAGCTAGAAGAATCATTTGGGGACAGGAGAGAAGAGGAGATGCAAAAACCCATCTGGAGTTTGGCCAGGACACAGTGGTTAACTCCCTGACTCTTATAAAGCGCCCCGGGGTATTTAATAACCACAACCAGTCCAGACCTTGATTTATGTCTCTCTCCGAAGACTGGCAGTCTTTGCGTGATTAACTCCCAGGAATGGAGCAGCAGGGTTGTTCCAGGTCAAGGTTGACATGCATTGGCAGAACTGTGTGAAGGAAGCTCATATAGGGCTTGCCTCGTCAACACGGCTTCAGTCTCTCACTTCCGGGGATACTAAACCACCACCCCCAAAATAATCTGCTCAGAAATGAAGGGATTTCAGGAAATCGTGCTTCCCCCCTCCCCTCCCAACAGATACCAGATTATACCCTTTTCTGCCTTCCACTGGGATCAGAAGCAGCATGTCATGGGCACCGAAAGGCCAGTTGAGGTGACCATTTTTCTTTCTCTCTCACACACACACCCCACAAGCAGCCAGCAACATAGTTGGTGCTAGTTTGGCCCAGCAGGTGGAAGATCCAGGGCAACCTGGATCAGGGAGATTAATTTATTTTCATGCCCTAGACGTGTGCCGTTTGAATGAGTTTGAGTCCCATCGGCAGGGCCATAGAGGGGAAGCTTGCGCTGTTGGCGCCGCTACCTGTTCACAGTCTCCAGGAACCTTTCCCCACCACTATAGTCATATCAAAAACTTTTTCAAATAGCTGCTGCCCTGCCTCAAATCCGGCACTGCATGTAAAAGGAGATCGCTGTGGGAGGAACACCGCTTAGCTGTTTTCTCGCCCTCCAGGTTTGGTCCTGCTGCCTTTTCAGGATGGGAAGGTGTGTAGGGGGAAATGAGGCTGCTGATCATTTTAGTACCTAGTGAAAATGTCATTTTGGATGTGCAGTTCCACCCGCCAGGGCGTAGGGTGTGAAGGAGATGTACATACTTCTCTGTGCCCGAGGGCGCAGCGCCTACGTGCATGTATTCTCCTAGAAACGCTTACTCTGTTTGGTGTTCATTGCTTATTTAACCTGCACGTGAAGCATTTTAATAGCTGTCCTGTATGTCTGGGAAGCCATGTGCTAGATCCTGCAAGCCCTTCAGGAGCCTGATTCTGGGAGTTTTGCCATTGACTTGATTGGGCCCGATGTGTTGAACTCCAACTGGGTGGCTTCCATGGGACAGAGACCTTGGGCGGGCCCTTCGCACAGAGATGACTGTCACCCATTGACTCCAGCAGGAAAGCTTACAGGGCCTGGGTTCTCCTTTGGGAGGTGCATGTGTAATTGACTAACATTAAGGTTACACTTGCATCAAGGGGAAGATACAGCTTCCTGAATCTTTCATGCAGTAAAATGTAAAAGCATCTTGTTTGTTCTTGCTGTAAGACGGAGATCGTTTAATTTTGCGCAACTCCCCAGTGTAACTTACTATGCGTTAACATTGTCTTCCCTCGACTGTAATGCGTTCTTTTGAAGACAGTAAATTAAAAATACAAGATCTATTGAGTTGGACTGATTCTTTCCTGCTGGCTTACAAGGTGGCAAATAGATTAAAGGTAACTTTTGCTCCGAGGAGGGGTGTGTGCGGAAAACCTGGTATTCATTTTAATAATAAGTGCCTCGATATAATTGTTCGCATACACCTTCATGGTAGGTAGCTGTGGCAAGAACTTATGAAGGAAATACTCAAAATCCACGGTTCTAGGGAGACCCTCTTTCTATATATTGATTCAGGTATGTATTGAACTGAATTATTAAAATACGTCGGTCAGATATGCAATGTAACCAAGCTAATGTTGCTGTAGAATCCTCATTCTGAATCCTCAGCTGGAGTTACACTGATTTACGCCAACTGAGAATCTGGCTCCTTAATTTTGCGATTGTCTGATTTATGTGTGTTTTATATTCCCAAGCTGAATGTTTCATTAACAGGATTTTTGGCAGGGTACACACATACCATAAAGATGGGTGTGTTAGAAATACCTAGATAAGATTTACAGTAATGTTGACTATTTCTGTCAATGTCACAAGGGTGGGAGATAAAGCAACTTACTCGTATTTTTTTTCCCCCCATCGTCCTGTGTAATGTCTTTGGATGTATTTTAACTCCTGTGCTGCACCCTGTATACAGTTCACGTGTAGATTTCAAAGAAAAAGGCAAAGGGGAATGAGTTAGTGTTCCATTGGTTGGAATGATGCCTCAGATCTAAACAGAAATGAAAATAGTTTTAAAAGGAGCAGGAAAGTAAATGTCCTTTTGATCATAAAAAATGGGCTTGAGCATATAGGGTTGTGACTGCGGTGCCCATGAAGCCCAAACATTCAGCCACGCTGGGTTGAAAGTAGTGGTTGAAACTCAAATGCTTGGGAACTGAATCCTTGTGGTTTAGGGAATGAGCCAAGCTTATGAGGAGGTTAGAGAAGAGCTTCTCCTACAAGCAGGTTAGTCCATAATTGCCCACTTTGGGGTCCTTCCATCTTTCTCTGAAGCACCTGGTACTGGCCAGTGTTGCAGACTGCGCCAGCTGGGATAGCTGGCGCAGTCTGGGATCTGCTACAGGAACTGCTACGTTCTTGTGCACAGCAGGCTTCCCTGGCCTCCTCTTGTTGAGGCCTCCTGGGTCTTCGGAACATTGCCTGCCAGTCAAGTGCTGCTCCACCTGGAAAGGGAGTGAAACCTTCCAGTTTAGTTCACTTGTTATCAGAACATAAGAACGGCCATACTGGGTCAGACCAAAGGTCCATCTAGCCCAGTATCCTGTCTTCCGACAGCGGCCAATTCAGGAGCCCCAGAGGGAATGAACAGAACAGCTAATCATCAAGTGATCCATTCCCTGTCGCTCATTCCCAGCTTCTTGCAAACAGAGGCTAGGGATACCATTCCTGCCCATCCTGGCTAATAACCATTGATTAACCTATCCTCCATGAATGTATCTAGTTCTTTTTTGAACCCTGTATAGTCTTGGCCTTCACAACATCCTCTGGCAAGGAGTTCCACAGGTTAACTGTGCGTTGTGTGAAGAAATACTTCCTTTTGTTTGTTTTAAACCTGCTGCCTATTAATTTCATTGGGTGCCCCTTAGTTCTTGTGTTATGAGAAGGAGTAAAAAACACTTCCTTATATACTTTCTCTACAACAGTCATGATTTTATAGATCTCTATCATATTCTCCGCCCCGCCCCCCAGCCTTAGTTGTCTCTTTTCCAAGCTGATGTCCCAGTCTACCCAGGGATATGCCCTTAGTAGTTCTCTGCAGGAAAAGCTAGCGTATTTGGCCCCAGCTCCAGAGTTTAACTCTGGTGTTTTTGTTTTCTTAACTCATAAGAAACCCTGCTGCTCTGGGATGAATTCTTCTTGCAGCTTTTCCTTGCGCCATCTCAGGCTCAAGCATACTTCAAAGGGAAGCTGCGCTCTGGCTTACGTGCTTGAGTGATTGTCTCCAAGCAGCAGGGAGATCCTGTTTGCTCAGAGCTACCGGCGCTCAGAGGGCTACTGAAGCAGGTACTCAGCTAGCATCAATCAGCATTGCTCTATTGACTTCAGTGGAGCTACACTACCTTCCCCCATTTATTGGAAGAAGGGGTGGGGTAAGGGGCTGCGGGAGGGAGTGTTTGTTGTCATTGGTCAGGAGAAGAAAATAGTTCTGTGGGGTATAAAAAGCTGGTCCAGTTCCCACCAGCCAGGGGGAAGCGTTCAACCTGCCAGGAAAGTGCTCTGACAACAATGTGTGGGATGAAAGGCTCCCAAGAGCAATGGTGTTTGTTCAGGGCTCCTCTTTTCCCCTTTGTACTTTCTCCTGCAGCACTGTGAGTCCCTACCATAAGCAGCTGCTGAAGCCAATGCTTCTGCATGCTCTGATGGGGGAGTCGCTGGCTGTGCTACAGCCAAAGGGGGATGGATGGCTTCCTTCCAGCACTCTGCCATCAAGGACGTTATTAAATCCCAGCCTTGAAAATCTTCAGAGGAACTGGACTGAAAGCTAACAAACATTTGCAGATGCCCTAAAAATGAGAGCGCTGCCTAACTTACTGGCCTCTGCCTGTGGGGAGCTTTCTCTCCTTCATCACCCCCAAACTGCATGATTGGGGGAGCATTGCCTTCAAATGGACATTTCCTCCGAGGGCCAATCCAATGCAAATGCAGCATCTGCCTAGGAAAACTAGAAGAGAAAATCTATAACAGGTCATCTCCTAAAGCCTGGGAGGAGAGCCTCAGGTTCAGCCAAAGATGTGAGAAGAGAATCTTCTTTATTTCAACGCACGTTGCAACAGCATTTTCTCTAGTAGTAAATATGGTACGCTGTTTGACTCTGCATGTAAATTTATAACCCACAACCACTTGCCTGAAAAAGGCCCACCCATCCCTTTTCTGATGTCACAGGTTTTATGTACAAAGCAGACAGGACACCACTTGACTTTTTTTTTTTTTTTTTTTTTTTTTGTTTTTTTTTTTTTTTAAAGGAAACAGCACCCCCCCTGTCTTTTTTTTTTTTTTTTTTTTTTCAGGTCATGCATTCAGATTCCAGTGTTGGTAGGAAGAAAATTCTGGCTTTGAGTTCTGGCTTGGATTTGGAACAGACAGGAGAAAATTCTGTGTTGAGTGAATGCAGCTGCTGGAGATGCACAGGTGTAAAGCCAGTGCAGACAATGGGTCACGATTGCTGGTCATTTGTGGCCATAATTGCACATTAGGTGGTTTAGTGCAATACATAAACGTTGCATATATTGTTCTCTTTTCCAAAGAATGGTATGTTGGCTGGGATTGCAAATGTATCAAAAGGACTTAAGCACCCATATTCCATGGAAATTCAACGGGAGTGGAATATCTTAGTCCCATACAATCTTTTAAAAATCCCAGTAGTTGTCACTTGGGCTGTTTGCTGCCTCATTTCATTCATCTTTCAAGAATCAGCAAAATCCAGACCCTTGGAATATGGCTATTCATGAGGTAGAATCTGCAATATTTTATTAATCATCCACGTTTCTCATTTATACAGAATTTCTACAAAACAGTCATCCCAAGAGAAAACAACGATCACTTGAAAGGGAAGAACAGGCTTACGAGCTAGTGAGATGAGAGAGAACCACCTCCAAACAAAGATGTAATGAGCCACATTTTCAAACACAGATGCCTAAAGTTAAGCTCCAAAATCCCTATTTAGGCATCTAGATGGGTTAGAAAAAGTTGGTCCATGTGTACTATGGAGAATACGCTAACAATGATCATTTTCTCGTGCTACCAAAACACATAGGGTGAGATCCTGGCTTCACTGAAGTCATGGGAGTTTTGCCACTCACTTCATTAGGGCCAAGATTTCACCCATCTTTAAGTCAGAATATCTTACATATGTACAGTATGAATCCCTACAGCTTAAATTCTAAGTGACAAATCCATCACCCAACCAAGTAGCAATAATACCTGGGCCCTATATAGTCCTCTTTATCCACAGATCTCAAAGCACTTTACAAAGGAGGGTATCATTACCCACCTTTGACAAATAAGGAAACTGAGGTTCAGACAGCCACAATGACACACCCCTGCTCATACAGCCAGTCGGTGGCAGACCTGGGAAAAGAAACAAACTCTCTTGATGCCCAGTCCTGCGTCCTAGTCACTGGACTATGCAGCCTACCAGGTAAAGATGTTCGCTTTCTAGTGTGGCTGTTACTGGCTTTGAGAGGCTATGGGGGTCAGGAAGCGTGGCCCAGGGTTTAAGTTTTGTGTTTTGAGGGGAGGGGGGATTTAGTGGAGGAGGGGAAGAGGTTAATGAAACCTAATACAATTGTTTGGAGTTCTAGTTCAGTTAAAGTTTTATTTTTTAAACTCCAGCCTCCCAGTGATATTTACCAAACAAGCACAGCAGCATTGTGCTAATGCATGAGAAGCAGAAAGTGAAACTGACAGGGATCGCTTCATGCCCCCACAGAAATCCCAAAGTAAACCAGGATAAACAGTGAAAAGTAAATTTAATTTGAAACATTTCAGTTTATCTAGGGGTACTATTGGGAAAAGGGATGTGATCTGTCCCCTAACATGGTATCTTTCTGTACTGTCCAGGGCAGATCATGCAGTTGTAAATGAACAGGAATGGATTTTAACAAAGTAACAGTATTCTCAATAGTTCTGTCACTTTCCCAGTGTTCGACTGGCAGGTTAAAACAGTAGCTTCCCCAGGAGAGGTAAACAATAATAGCAATTATTGATATCTCCGGTAGAGGATTAGCCAATTTGTTTGTCAGACCAAAATGAGAGAGAGTGATGACATTCTTTATTTTCTTTATTCGGGTCCTTCTGTGCTTGTGAAATTAGTCCCTATTCCCAGCTCCCCTCTGTAATAGTTCAGAATATTTTGCCTTCAGTGTAGCAAATAGATTATCTGTGCTGGATAGCTGAAGTGCTCCAAACCAAGGCCTACTAAAGCCCCTCTGTGATTGCTAGCAATGATCACTGGTAACAGAGTTTGATTAAAACAATCAATATATTCTAAGGCCTCTGTTGGAAAATTAAAAATGTTAATTAGCAATTTATTATAGCAGAATTAATTATATTGTTTAGGGAACAGAGATGGATTGTCCCTGGGCTGTTTGCTTGTAAACTGTGGAAATAATGGACACTGCAGGCTAAAATCTTCAAAACAAACCAACCTGCCATTGTTTTGGCTTCCAGAACTGTCTGCATTGCACCTTGGGATCATGCAGGACAGAACATCTGTAAGTAGCTGCAGGAACCCGGGCGCCTTTTGTTTGCAGCTGAACCTGGACAGCTTGCTGCTTTTAGAATCTCTACTCGCCAGCAGCTAATTACAGAAGGGATTAAAGAAAAAACGAAGGAAACTGTAAAAAAGAGCAAGGCGTCACTCTAAAACTGCACGTTGATGGACGCAAGTGTTGAAAAGAAAAGACACCATACGTGGAAAGGCTGAACAAATGCCATTATGCTATTTAGCAATGTGTCCGAGCCAATCAATGCCGTATTCTGAGTTTTTCATCATCTCCAACTGCAGGATCTGACAAATAGGGCTTTAGGGCTGTTTCTGAGGTCCTCATTATAATCTTTCCATAGATTTGTTCCCTTAACTTTTCCCTTGCCTCAATCCTTTCCCCTCCACTTCAGTAAAAGGCTCTTTTATACTGCAAGTAAGTTGATTAGGGATAGTTCCTCATAGGGTAAAATTCCCCCTGTGCGGAAGGCCAGCATGTAGATTTTCTGCTGGCTCTTAGCACAGAGGTGAATAATAGCATTAGTGATTTAGTCAGTTATTATTTACGATAATAAGCCAACTTCAGCACTGAAGATGCACTGGAGTGGAACTAGCCCATAGGCTATTGGGTCTAAAGAATTCCCCTCTCCACCATCTTGTTTCCTCTTCATTAAGCACAGCACAGGGGCCTCCCAGAATTCACAGGTTGGAGTCTCTGATCGCATCTCCTGCCAGCACAGGTTAGTTAGAGCTCTTCCCATGCATTTTTGTTATTACTAGAGAGAGTGCAGGTGAGCAGGTTTCAAATGCTGTTGGAATTCCTTGGACATTGATGCCAGTTCCTGCCTATAGTTATATACAGACTGCAAGTCCTGGCTGTTCCTCAGCAACTCATTATTCTTGTGGGCTTCATAATGAAACTGGGAGTTTTTCATCTCATACCTAGAAAAGAGAAGGAGCAGTACTGGACAGGCTCTGAGAAGGGAATAATAATAAAAGCCACAGGGGGCAGGCACCACAAAAATGGTTCTTTCCCAAACATGCCTTGTCCTCTGGACTCTTCCTTCTATCCCCAAATCTTCCAAGCTCTGATCTCAGCTGAGCCAGTGTGGAAGTCATGAAAAAGTAGCATTACCTTTGTATTTGTGACTCTCTGCCCAACACACAAACCTATCTGATGCCTGGACCAAAAAAAGATCTAACCGCAACCCCAAATATCTGTGTGCAGAGAATCTGGCCTCTCCAGCCCCCTACCTTTCTCTCCTGGATGCCCTAAGACTTCCTGGTGTGATGCATAAGGTACTCTGTGGCATCATCCCAGCTGGTGATCAGACAGAGCCATACATGACAGTGGGTTAAAGGAAGTTCATTAAGTCTACAGGCAGCCTCAATGTGCTACAACCCTGCCTTGGGCGGGGCCCAATTTAGAAGGATGTTATAGAACCCTCATAGGAGACAGGACACAAGTCACTAACTGACATGCAGGACCAAGTGACCCTCACTCTGGGAAACTCTTTAAGAGGCTCAATAATAAAATACCCCCCACTATCTATCCAGGTACTGATAAGGCCCTCATGGCTGAGATCCTGGAGTATTTCCCCTTACATTAAAAACAACAATACACTCTCTCCTGCTTTACAGAACCAAGCCTGGACTTTACTCTTTAGCACACTGATTTCCTCCTCCCATGAGCCCCCCCCCCCCCCCGCTATTTCTCACAGAGTATAGAAGGAGATGGCTACTTCCATGACTGTTAGCATCATCAATGCTTCAGAATCACAGGTTTGTTAGCTTGTGCTCCCTCTGCTGGTTGAATAGCTGCTCCTATATTTTCAGAACCCAGCACCAATCTGCACCCACAAAATCTGTGTGCATGCACAAATCAATTTTGGCTCACAGTACTGGGCCCTGCAGAGGTCAAGGTTTAAAACCTTAGTCCTGAGGCGATTGGCTTGATTTTAGATGACAGAGTGAAGTATTTTGGAAGCACTATAGTGAATTGCGAAGTTATTTCTCCACCAGACTGTATATGTAGTAGCAGCCAAGGAGTTTTAAGCTGACCTGGGTCCAAGCACCCTTTCTCGTTTGGAAAAATCCAGCATGCAGTCTGGCCACTCGGGCTACTCACAAGGTTGAGGATTTTCACTTACCACTTTGGTTTTGGACCCCGAGTTCGCTCCAATTCTTGCTGCCTCTTTAGTTCTAATAACCATTCCTCCTCCACACGCAGGCGCTCCAGCCTGAGACGAGCCAGCTCCTTCTGATATGGGGACATTTCTATCAGGGACCTCCCAACAGCACCTTCTGCAAGAGTCTGCAAAAACCTGATCGATCAACAAGAACAAGCTCTTGCATTTCTATAACATCTCTTAGCTGGGGAATTCAAAGCATTTTACAAACTGTGGCCCAAAGTGACTAGTGAGTTTAGTTGCTACAATTTTTGAATGCCCAAATGGCTTTTCAAAGGGCAGGTGCTCAGTATTTTCTGAAAATCTGGCCCCTTTAAGGTGGCTCAAGCTGGGCATCCAAAAATCACTGGACCGTTCCAGCTCCCCCTACTCCCAAACACGTGTGATTTTCCAGATAAAGGGGTAGGGGACAGCCGGCTGTTTCTGGTGAAGGGGAGTTTGAAGAAGGGAGTGCTGGAAGACTGACATCCCTACTGGGACAGAGTTAAAGGTGTGTTGTGTTCCATGCTGTTTGTTCTAGCAGGGAGGTGTGTATCTGAGTGAAGAAGTAAAAAATGTTAGAAGCTTTAACTTTTCATTTTCAGGGTTTTGTGTAAGTCTGTTGTGTATAAAGCAAGCTTGACTCACACACACTGTACGGTTTTTATGTACTAATAAAGCTCTAAAGTACAAGACATCACGAGAGAATGACTGCCATATAATGTAGGTAAACATCCACTAACCGCTTCTCTTAAAACAACAGTTAGCACCTCCAATGACATTGGGGACAGTAGGGCTGACACGCAAGGCCCACAGGCTGATGTCTGGAAGATGTCAGCTTAGCCATACTAGGCCACAGGCTTAAAAAATGCTTGACATAGGTAAGTGACCAAAGAATGACCCTATGCCACAAGATTATGGGAAAAGATGTACCAATGGGTGGTATTGTGAAAAATTAACCTTAAGAGTAATTTTTGACTACAAGATACCCAGTAGTCACATTGTTCTAACATGGCCCCTAACTACAGGGTGCACTATGTGCATCACTGCTAATGGGAATAAAAGGAACTACAAACAACCTATGAAAAATGGGGGACCCCAATATTCTTGGGGGACACAATACAAATAAGGAAAAAGAGGGTGGACACCTTCATCCACATGCACAGAGCGTAGGTGTAGTCAGAATCAGAGGGCTCCCAGACTGGGTAAAATGAGTTCCCTACAGGAAAACTGCATCAGGAATCATCCCTCTATTGATGATCAATTGGCAAGACATCCATCAGACCCTAAGAATATCATTAAGGATGTGAGTATGACTATATTTCTAACTTGTGCATAGGTCTTTATAAAATGTTTATATACATGGGTAATCATAACTAACTGTCACTTTAATAAAACTTGTAAAACAGACTAGCCCTTGTACTTGTGAATGCCTGTGTGGTCCCTACCCTGGGTCTTTATGTGTACCTAGAGGCTCTAAATCTGAAGCAAGTAGCAGAGGTGACTTTTGCTCTTTTGAGCTTGAAATTGTAGCCACCAGAGCTGGACCCACAGTGGTGTAATACAACATTACTAAATTCACTTTAAATCATAGAATATCAGGGTTGGAAGGGACCTCAGGAGGTCATCTAGTCCAACCCCCTGCTCAAAGCAGGACCAAGCCCCAGACAGATTTTTGCCCCAGATTCCTAAATTGCTCCCTTGAGGAATGAACTCACAACCCTGGGTTTAGCAGGCCAATGCTCAAACCACTGAGCTATCCCTCCTCTCACATGATAAATTGACACCTGAAAGATCAATCATTACCCACCAATCCTGAGGGTAGAATAGACCTGCCCTGATACTTATAAACATCACTGATTTCATCACTTCAAGAGTAACAAAACTTCTAATGGAGTCAAAACTAGCCCTAAACATAATTAAGGCACTCAGAACGCACGCATTCTATCAGACACAAATACTTTACCCCAACCTCTCTACAGGCTACAGAGGTGATGTTACATTAAAAGCTACTGTAAAATTCTGACTTCGGGTTGGTTGGTTTGTTTTAAACTATACGCTCCTCGGACTGATCCAAAATCCATTTTAAATCAAATGGAAAGACTCCCAGTGGTTTTGGATCAAGCCCTAAGGTAACAAATTAAAAAACAAATTACAATATAGCCTGGGAATATAATGTACTTTCTTGTGTGTGTTACACTATTTGGACAAACCAGTGTGTAACATGGTCCAAAGTTACATCTGATAGTTATCTAGTAACATGTTCTGGACTCACACTGACAGAAGAACTCGTGGAAAGCGTGAATCTCCGCACAAGCCTTTTCTTACCGTTCATTAATCTCCTGAGCGGTTGGGGAGGATACAGCAGTGGAGGGCAGACTGTAAGGGCTCCAAGAATAGCTCAGTGTTCCCCTTGTATTCATCCTGGCTGGAGTACAGGACCTGGCAGCCAGGGCTCCTGGTTTGTATATTCTGGATCGTGATTGTCTGGTTGAAGCGGTTTTCTTTCTGCTGTACCTAGACCTGCCAAAGTGCGGTGGAGGCTGGGCACAGGCATTTGCCTTAGCAGAATTTGGTCTCCAGATGGGTCTAGGTGACTGTGAGCGAGATCTTAGCCACCGGGTTCTTTTGGGAGCCGGAGAGAATGAACGGGATCGGTTGGTCCCAGAACGATCAAGGGAGAGGGACCTTTCAGGAGAGCGATCCTGCACTGGGATTTTAGGAGGCAACAATGACCTGACTCCAATCACATGAGGAGCACCAAGCTTCACTGGGAAACACTCTGTATGTGCAAGATCCAGTGACGGCACATAGTTCCGACTTGCAATCTCACTCCCCAGGAGCCCTGGCACACGGTTGATGGGTGATGTGGAGAATGTCGGAAGGCCTAAGCTTGTTAATGCTGGATACTCTCCCAGTGGTTTGACCAGATGTCTTGGGTTCAGAAACCACTCTGACTCTGCAGATTGCTTTGGTGAATCTCCAATGTCTGCCTCTGCATAGGTCCCATTATGAATTCTTGGCCACGTAGAATTAAAGGTGCTCGAGTTGACTGTAGTGCTAGAATCTATGGCATAATCTTGATGAGGGTCAAAACTCAGACTTGAGGCCAAGCTGTCCACCTGAACTTTAAGTTTCCGCAAACTTTCTTCTAAGTCATCAATGCTGGGACTCTCCTCTATATATGGAGACAAGCTAGTTTCTAGGTGGGAAAAAATGCATTTATTTAGGAAATATTATTAATTATTCTTGTAGACTGCTCTACATTATCAGTATCTATTGTTAGCACAGTGCAGAAATAACTGATCATATAGGTACTTCTGTCAAAGGATCTCACTGCACTTTACAAACTAAGCTTCACAGCCCCACAGGGATAGAAGAATTATTCTGTATGTTATAAGTATTGTGGCACACAGCTCTACCGTTAAGGAGTGGATGTTATACAATGTGTTATAAATAAGCCAGACAGGGATAAGTATTGGACATATGAGAACTGACCATAGAAAAATCTGGATGAGATGTAGTCATTTTGAGGATAACTATTGGTAGTTTGGGATTATTCTCATTTTAAAGCACAATCTCTATCATAATAATAGTAGCAGAGAATATGGCCCAATAATTTTACATCTCTTAGGGATTTGCATTCCAAAGGATCTCAAAGCACTTCATATGCTATGGGACAAATCTTGCAAACACTAACTACTGACTATAGCGTTTACTACTGTGAGTGGGGCCATGATCTCCATGGGAGTACTTATAGTAGCAAGCACTAGGTCCAGTAGTAAGCATTTGCAGGATCAGGTCCTATACACATACAGCACTGATGAAATATAGCCAAGTTTGAGTCTGCCCTAGAGAATCTAGGTTTGTCAGTTCTGATATTTAGACCACAATCCACACCCCTCCTTCCTGTAAAAAAACCACCACCATTCTCCTAGATGCAAAATACAGACGACACTAAGTGACTTAACACTTAATGCAATTTTTAAATCCTTTGGTAAAATATATTTGCTCTCATTTTGGATTAAAAAGATCTATATTTTGTATGTTTATGATAAATATCCTTTGAACATGAGTCTTCTATAGCTTAAATAAAGTGGTCCTTATCCTGATCTCATTCACACTGGTTGGCTCCATTGGCTTCAAAGCACTTATTCCTGATTTACACTAACTTGAAACCTGAATAGGGCCCAGAGTCTTTTCCAAATGATAAGCTCTACTACTTAAAAACAGAGCATCCACTGTCAAAGCGGTGACTTTATCATGATTTATATTATATCCTACCAGTTTGTTTTTTAAATAATGAAGTTCCTTCCCAGTTGCTGTGCAGTGTCTGGCTCTTTTCCGGTCCTTTGAGGCTCAGATGGTGAGTAGTAGTAGTTTTCTGGGTGCTGCTAAGGAATTTGTTTGGCTTCTCTCTTTAAAGAAAAAACAAAACATTTTAGTGTTGAGTGTTTTTATTAAATTTAATAACAGGTTGTGTGTGTGTTTGTGTTACTCTTGAAACTGGTGGGAAGTGTCCACTGTAGTCTAAATATGCATTACATATGCAATACATCTGTTAGTCTTTAAGGTGCCACAGGACTCTTTGTTTCTTTTTACAGATCCAGACTAACACAGCTACCCCTCTGATAAATATGCATAGTAGTCTATATTCAGATGTGAACTATGTTTAACACAGGCTCTGGCAATCAGGGCCGGCTCCAGGCACCAGCTTGTCAAGCAGGTGCTTGGGGCGGCCACTCCAGAGAGGGGCAGCAGGTCCAGCTGTTCGGCGGCAATTCGGTGGACGGTCCCTCACTCCACTCCAGAAGGACCTCC